GCAGGAAAATGGATGGAACTCGAAGAAACCATTTTGAGTGAGGTAACCCAATCACAAAAAGACAAATATGATATGTACTCACTTATATGTGGACCTGCTTTATGATACATAATAGTGACTGTGCCTTATCAGAGCTGTTTTTAAAGATGTTGCTCAGAATGGTTTCCTTCCAGATGATGATTGAGAAGCTAATTTTAAAAACGAATGGTGCCAGGTACCACAAGAGTAATAGAACAGTGCTGTTTTTTGGGATTTTGTTTTTTACTTTTTTTTTAACGGAGTGTGCTGGATGTCTCTACAATTTTGTTCAAATGACTACAGAACCTGGAAAAGCTGTTGCTGCTATTGATGCATAACATACTGCATATATATATAACATATATATATATATAACATATATATATATGTATATATATATATATATAAATATAATATATATACATATATAATTTGAATTTTTGGAAACTTTAGCTGTGCTATCAACTTTGGAAAAAAGTATCCCAGTTTACCATGTTGAGTTGGTATTGTACAGAAATTAACAGCCATATTGGTCTAGAAAAAAAATAAATTGTAATGTATTACATCCACGTTTGTATATAGTTTCCAAAGGTATGTAATACCCTCTTACTTCCCATATATAGCCATATACTAACAATTTCTCCTGAAATTTATGTTTATATGTAATTACTATTTATTTCTTGTCCTTCATTGGAGAGATTAAATTCTTCTTCATGTGGAAATAATGTTTTCATAATCTCTAGATATATTAAATATAAACTTTTCCCTCAATCTAATTTTTCATAGGGAGATTTTGGTTGTGTCCATTGGGTAAATCTTTGTGTCTACATAAAATCTGTGCCCTAGTAAGAAAACAATGACTATTAGTTTTGTTGATGCTATTGTCATTGTTGGTGCTATCTTGAACTTAACTATTTCTCTTTATATGTTCACATTTTTTATTTTAATAGAATTATTTTTAAATATTCAGATAGATGTTTCAAAGTCCTGCTAAGACTGTCCAGTTATGGGGAAGTCTCATACTATCAACTATTTATTTCCCTTTTGTCCTTGGTTCTCTCCTCATACCTTCGTCATCCATTGGTCCATTCTAAACTGGATATTTTCTAAGTGTGATGCTGAGTAGCATCCCTGACAGTGTCATCCTTCCCATGAGTTCTCCATATTCCTGCATATTACTTCTTATCACATGAAGACCTGTGTTCAATTCCCTGCATTCATATGGTGGCTCAAAACCACCTGGAAATTTCAATTCTAGGTATTTAATGCCTTCTTCTGTTCTCTGTGGGCACCAGGCATGAACATGGTACACACACATAAATGCAGGCAAAACACTCAAACACATAGAATATCTTTCAATTAAAGATAAAATTATAGAACACTCCCCAATAATCTGTCCTATGTTAAATAGTATTTTATGGAAACTTATTTCTAGAATAATAAATAAAATGTCTTTAGAAATTCTGCCTAAGCCCAGATACAGCAAGGAAGGCTTAGGCCCTCCCCCAAATGATATGACAGACTTTGAAGGTCACTCATGGAGGGCCTCACTATCCCTGGGGAGGAGTTGGGGGATGTAGCAGACTGTAGTGGTAGAGAAAGTTAAAATTTGAGGCTTCCTTATGACAAACAAAATCAAGGACTCTAGGGATTTCTTCCAATTCCTTGCTGAAACTCACTTGCTTCCCTCCTGTGTCCTTACCTGTGACTTCTGGGTACTTGAGCAGGAGCAGCAGAGAGTACCTCAGTGTTGTGCTTGTTGTCTCGGTCCCAGCAGCAAACAGGTCAGATGCTGAGAAGATCAAGTTTTCACGAATAAACTCTGTCTTTGGGTTGTTCTTTTCCTAGGAATGGTTTGACCATGAGAGCCAGCAAATTATTTGTAAATATACTTATTACAGCACATAAAATGACTAACATGTGATGAGTTTAACCTGACAGATCCTGAAAAGTATAACAGGGGAAGGAACTGACATGTGTTCAACAGACATGCAGAACTCCTGACCCATCCTCACCTCCTACACCCAGAGTCATGTCTGGAAAAAATTTTGCATGAGACTCCTCAGTCAAGTAAGCCATGCAATGTCCCATCTTCCTGACATGTAAACAAAAGAATTGACACCCCATTTCCTTTGTTTCAAAGTTTCACTCAAAAATACACATAAGAAAAAGGAAAGGCAGCCAGCATGTTATGTGAGGGCTAGTCATGAAAATGAAGGTCTCAATTGTTAATGTGGTAAAGAAAAATGGAAGGCCCTAAAACTTGTGAGTGAGGTACACTGCTTAAACACAGATAGTAAACCCTGGACGAAGCTAGCATAAGTAGTATAAAGTTCAGTGGATCAGAATGGACAGCTCACAAAACAAACACCTTACATTTATGATGAGTGCCAACAGTATTCAGTGAAAATCAGTGTATTTTCAACAAATGGAGCCATGACAGAAGCATTTATTCATGTAGGTGCCTGATAGACATCAATCTTTAATTCGATGTCCATGTCAATCCACTTGAAGTTACACTCACTTAAGGCACCTTTCATCCTTGGCACTAATTCCCTTCTCACACCACAACCTACAACTTATAATTCATGTGAAATTCCCTCACCTGTCCACACCTAACATTTCAAGATTTAGTTCAGTCTAAAGATGCTGTAGAAAGTGTGCCTCGCTTGAGCTGCTTTTCTAAGTTTCCATACATTAATTTAGTTCAGTCTAAAGATGCTGTAGAAAGTGTGCCTCGCTTGAGATGCTTTTCTAAGTTTCCATACATTAACTGCAAAGACAATATTCATCTTTATATCATGTCATGACATTTTTTTCTGAGAGTTTTGGAAATATTTCCATCCCATGGGGCCACTGTGTTATATGACTCTTCAGCTAGATGTTTTTTGTCTAAAAAAATAGGACCAATATATTCAAATTACTTAACTTTATATTGTCTGGGATGCTTCCTACAAATCCATGTACATATTAAGCACATAGTGCTGTCAAACATTACTGATCTGAACCATTTAAATATCCCTGTAAAGGCAGGCCCTAATCGGGGACACCTGACTCCAGAAGTCTGCTCATAGGATCCAAACTCGGCCAGCAGGCTCCAGCACACCCAGAGACTGCCAAGGTCCCGGTAACAGTCCCACCTCCACCCACCAGCCCAGGAGAAGAGGACAGACATCAGAGTATTGGATCTGTGTGCATTTACCAGAAGGGAACCTTGATCCCATAGCCACCAGGAGAGGAAGAGACTCCTGCTACACCCACCAGAAGAAACGATGGGAAGAAGACAATATAAAAACACACTCAACAACAGAAAATCCAATATGACACCACTGGAGGCTAGGGACCCTACACCAGCAAGACCTGAACATCAAAATGCAGATGAAGTAGAAGAGAATGACCTTAAAACATCTTCATGAAAATGATAGAGGGCCTCAAAGAGGAGATGAGAAAATTCCTTAAAGAAATGGAAGAAACAACAAACCAAAAAAACAAAAAATACAAGATATCAACAAATCTTTCAAGGAAACATTTCAAGACCTAAAAGCTAAAATAGAGACAATAAAGAAAGCACAATCTGAAGGAATGCTGGAAATAGAAAAGCTGGATATGTAATCAGGAACTACAGATGCAAGCATAAAAAACAGAATACAAGAGATGGAAAAGAGAATCTCAGGAGTTGAAGATACACTAGGAGAAATAGACTCATCAACCAAAGAAAATCTTAAGTCCAACAAATCCCTAACACAAAATACCCAGGAAATGTGGGACACCTTGAAAAGACCAAACCTAAAAATAATAGGTATAGAAAAAGGTGAAGAAACCCACCTCAAGGGTGCAGAAAACATAGTCAACAAAATCATA